CTACTGCAGCCAGATTCACTTCTTGCTCTTTTGGGGTCTTTTTGCCTTTAGTCTGACAATTGATGATGAAGTTGGAGTTAGATCAAGTGACTGACTTGGCCAATAAAGAACACTGGCTGTAAAACCTCCTTGGTTGTCTGTATGTTTAGGGTCATTATCCTAAAGCATGGTCTTAAAGGTGTATAGGATTCCGTGGCATCTAGCGATGAAGTTGCAGATTTCAACCATTTGAATACAGCTCAGCCTTCTAAATGTGTAGGAGAAACTACGGTGGCCATAAAAACACAAAAGGCTCTATCTAGAGCCAGTGTTTGTTCATTCTGGGTTACTGTAGATACATGGCAGCCTACATAGAAGTGTGATTATACACTATTGAGAACATGCCTATGGATATTATGTTCCATTTCTGCCAATAGATCCTCCTAAATGTTACATACTGGACGTACTGTTCACCCATTGTGAACACCCTTGTTACAGCTTTAAGCTCAATTTTACACATCAAAGTTGATTTACACATCTTGGATATTACTACTGCATGTGAAAAAATATGTATAAAGCCTTTTGTGGAGGTAGCTGCGCAAAAGTGAGCTTACCTGACCCGTGTAGCCTGCTCCTTATCTCTGCTTAAGCTCTGTCGCTCAAAGCTACATTAGCCACTTTTATACACACCCAAATCTCCAACCAAACTGTTGGTGGATGAATTGCATTGTGGGTAATGTAGGCATCAAATTTTGACAAGGGGAATGTCAAAACAGAATATTCTTAAAGAGGATATATCTGGTTCTGCTGCGTTTATTTAGATTTTTGTTACAGGAGTGCAATACCACATCAGTGGTATTTTCCAAATACTTACAGACTGCACTGTATAGAATACTTTTATGACTGTTGTGGCAGATCATATTTAATTAGGCATGTTGGCTCATCAGACAAAAGCACACACTGTATGCTGGCAACATCCAGTCTATGACCTTCATTGTATGTCACTGCTGATTTCTCCTAACCTCTATTTCACTGCACATAGATTTTATTCGTACTGTATTTGACAAAGAAAAGCTTATTGTACAAACAGTTACCCGTCTTAAAAATTGCAACTTCAGATAGAGCATTTTGTAGTAGTCATTTCTTTCTACTGATAAGATGTACAATTAGTGTCTCTGTCACACAAACACACACACACACACGGAGGGTGTCAGTGGTCAGGGTCAAAGGGTGACCTCTGTTCGTTCAGGCGTGACTCTGGGGTTTAATCACACATACTTATTGTTTCACCCTCTGTGCATCTATCATGGAAA